CACTGGTCTGATCACCAGAGAGCAAGAGAGAGAGAGGCGGGGCTCGCAGAGCCATTTATCTCTTTGCCCTCCAATCAAACTGCAACCTTGTTAATCACACATGTTCTTCTTGGCCAGGTTGGCACAATAAACATAGCTACCTTATCACAAGGACTAAGATGCACATCTCAAACCATGGTATTTTCAGTTGCTTCATATTTATGTCAAAGTTGAACCTTGAATAAGGAAAACATTGAAGAAGAATGGATGCATTTGAATTATGGTGCTGGTAAAGAGTATGGGAAGTACCATGGACTGCCAAAAGACTAGGATGAGCAAGATGGATTGACACAGTGGCTGCAAAAATAGGCAAGCAGAAGAACAATTATGGGGCTGGTACAGGATCAAGTGGTGTTTTGTTCTGTTGGGTCATTGGGTTGACATGAGTTGGTACCAACCTGATGGCACCTAACAACCACAACAACATAAAGTTAAACATTTTAAATAAAAACATTCACAATTGAAGTAAATTAACATTTTGTGCCATATTAAAATTTGTAACAGTCTATTTCTTAAAACTAAATATAATGGGCATGGGTTTAATTGTATTTTTGATTTGCAAAGTAATTAGCCTTTATTCTTGTGATTTATATTCATCTTTGATTTATTCTCTGTGATTAAGTTTATTCTCTATGATGAAGGCTACTATTAATATGAATGTACCAGTTTACTATAAATTGGAGCACAGACTAACTTCCCATTAGTACTATTGAGATATTTGTATTGTTTTGTTTTGCTGATGCAAGTGGAATGCCCTCTCTACCCTCATTACAAGAAAAAGTTTCTCTTAGATCTGTTGTAAGTGTAACCAAACATTTTTATTCTTTGAGAATTGTTTGTGCAGATGTATTCTGTGTCAGCTTTACCGAGCAAACATTACTAAGCAAATTCCAGATTGTACATGCATGGTTTATTTAATCCTCACATTATTATATAATTTTCAAAGTCTCAAGGGAGAAAACAGAAGCTTAACGAGCCTGAGAAACTTCTGGTGCTACTAGATAGATCAAAGATCCAAATCCAGGCCTCAGTTACACAGGCTAATGTTCATATTTCTAACCTTGCAGCTATACCATATAATGTGATTAATGATAGTTTTCATGTATTGAGTATTGTAATGTCAAGGACAGATCCAATTGCATTATTTATATGCATTATCTTCATTTTACAAACAAAAACAAAAAGAAAACTTATGTAATTTTCTTCACAGCAAATAAATGACTAACATGGAATCCAAGCCCAGCATTATCTCACTCCAAAGTCCTTATGTGCCGTGCCAATATCATCTATGCACTTTATATGCACAAGAAACGATGCTGAGAGTGTTTTATGAAGAGTAATAATGGGCCAGATATTTTCCAGAATTTCTATCAATAAATTCACCTACTCTGTAAATCCATAGCACTTAGAGTATCTTTCAGGAGGCAATTAGAATAAGAGCTATTAGAAAAATATTTATGGCCGTTTAAAAAATTATAATACATTTTTCTGAAGCACGTTTGAAAACATCATTTTTGGGTTTGTTGAAGTCACATCAGCTATATCCAAGTAAAGTTTTTAATCGGGTAATTATTTGTATGTCAGAGCCCTGGGAACAGCCAAATGATCTTTTTAAAACATGCCCCCTTTTTAAACCCCTTCAGCGGGGCATAAGCAGAGAAGTGGTGATTAGGGAATGGTGGTTTACTCATATCTAGATATAGCCATCCTCAAACTGCGGCCCACAGAGGACATTTATCCGGCCCGCTGGGTGTTTTTGCCCCGTTTGTTTTTTTACTTTAAAATAAGATATGTGCAGGGTGCATAGGAATTTGTTCATAGTTGTTGTTTTTAACTATAGTCCGGCCCTGCAACGGGTCTGAGGGACAGTGAACTGACCCCCTGTTTAAAAAGTTTGAGGACCCCTGAATGGAATTACTTATAAATCTAGAGGGAGGATCAGCAACCTACCACCTTGTGGTGTACCAGCCCCCACAGTTGAATGGGTCCAAGGAGTGGTTGTGTAATTGAGGGTTAAATTAAAAGAGACATCAGACAAGGCACGCAAGGGCTCACTTCCAGACCACCATGACCCCAGAGAGAGAATATATTTCCAACCCAGGCTTATATATATTCAGGGATGGGCATGCAAGCCCCCCCTATTTACAGGTAACCACATATGTAACAAAGTGGGCTGTAACCTAACCTTAAAGATCCCTGAGTACATTGGAGGACTAACCTAACGCCAGTGCCTGGGCCAGGTAAGGGGGAGTGACTGTCTTCAGAGTCTGGAGAGTGTGTGCCCGCTTCTCTAGTTAAAACTGCTGCTGGCTAGATGGCAAATCAGCCCTGTGCTTGTAAGTGCTTGTAAGAGCTAACCTCAGGGTAGCACTATTCAGGGAGGATATAGTGTGTACCAATATCGATTATGAGAAAGTGATTGGGACTCACCTCTAACTCACAAGGATGAAGGCCTCCCTCCACCCCAGAAACCCAGCCCACCAGGCTTCTTAATATATGAGAATAAGGGATTCATCCACATATACTCTCTTCCGATGCTGTTTCCCACACCACCTATTTTTGTCTAGCCCACAAATGAAGAATGAATTTTCTAATTTTAAATGGTTTTTAAAAATCAAAGCAGCCCTAGTGGTGCTTTGGACTAGGCATTGGGTGAGCAGTTCAAACCCCCCAAACCCTCTGTAGGTGTCAGAGTCTACCCCATGGCAGTGGGCTTGGTTTGGGTTTGGGTTTAAAAATGAAAAGCAGATTAGTTCATGACATATGAAGGTCAAGTTTTGGTATCCACAAATAAAGTTTTATTGGAGCAAGCCATCATCATTTGTTTACGTATCATTTCTGGCTGCTTTTGTTCAACGGTGGCAGAGTTGAGTATTTGCAACAGAGACTGCATTGCTCGGCAAACATAAAATAGTTATGTGCTAGTTTGCTACTTCACCGGTTAATGTGACCATTTAGTGAAGAGGTCGACTCAGAAGAGTAGCTATGAAAGAGAAATGAGGAGAATAAAGACTTTATGTCTCTTTACCTTGACATTGTAATAACAAAATATAAGAACACAACAAAGTTAAGATTTCATATAATATATAATTACAATTACCTTAGCAACTTTTTTTTCTTCAAAATTTAAAAAACCTATTAGGACTCTTGACTTTTAAATAAAGCTATCATCCGTAAAGTCTACTAATATGAGTTTTAAAGAAGCTTATGTAATGAGTATGATTTGAGTTAGTCACAGTGTGTGATAGTTCATAATGTATGACAGTTCAGAATTAGATCTCTTAATTGGATTATCCTGGTGTTAAAGTATGTAACAAAATAAAGCAAAAAGCAAGGGATAATTTATTACCCTTGCAAAGAAAGTCTTACATTTTATTGAAATGAAATTGAGTTGTTAATGTCAAAAACTATATCAAGGTTGGTTTTATTCCTAATCCAACAACAAAAAGAAAATGTTATCAGTCTTCCCGTTCCCCTCCTCCCCTGTTGCCTTTGCCAGGATTCTGCAATGGAATTTTCAATCAAAACAAATACACAAGTTTAAACTTTAGATAGTTATGATAATTCCACCTACTTCAACATAGTGCTTCTTAAGTTTTGAGTTGTTGTATAATTAAATATTCCTGCCGTACATAAAAGGAGCCCTGGTGACGTGATGGACTATGCGTTGAGCTGCTAATGGCAAAGTCAGCAGTTCAACGTCACAGCCATTCTTGGGAAGAAAGATGAGGCTTTCTACTCCGCAGCTCTATTCCATACTATGGGGTCACTATGAGTCGGAATTAACTCGATGACAGTGAATTTATTTTGTAGAATGTCATGCATAATGCTTTTTTTCTAAATGAACTTCAATGCTGGGGGAAGTGGATAGGGAGGGAAATGCTATTTCTTATGACATAAAATTTCTAATCGTTTCCAAAGTTAAACAAAAATTTAGAGAAGTAAAGCTGACACATTCTGCATTGACTTTATTGAAATGACCTCATCTTTCTGAACTCCTAGTACTAACTTTTCAGTATCAGCGTTTACTCATCGTACATGCCATTTACAGCCAAGTCAGAGCTAGACAGAATGATGGGGACTCGACTCCCTACTCACAGTAAGGTGACTGACTCTCAGATGGGCTTTTTTATTTTTATTTTTTTTAAAGGCAAGACAGATAATTAACTTCCTTGAAGCATTCTGTTTCCATTCCCCCAGGGAAGGTAAAGATCAGACAACTGGCTTAAAGAGACTTTTAATTAGATTAGAGCCTTTCAAGGCAGAGAGTAACTTCTCTGCCACTAGGAAAAAAAGAACAAAGAGGAGCTGAGGGAGGAGGAGGACAGAAAAGCTGATGGCTTTCATGTACTTTCATGTATGTGGATGATGATTTAGTTGTGTGTTTCAAGTATTTTGAGTTCTCTGATCAGCAGACAATCGGCTACTTTCCAAAGCCTGATAAAGGAATCTTTGTATTATCCACTGTTTTGAATTATTTGCCCTATAGGAACATTTAAGCAGAACGTTAGTGAACTCCTTTCCCAGCCTTCCCACTTCAAGGGCGTGCCCTTCAAAGCCACAGTCCCGGTTTTGAGGATTGGTGCTTGTATGCAGTGGAGTGAAGACAATGCCCTTTCTCAGAGAGACGATTAACTGAATGTTGACAGGCAAACTGTATTTGGTCATTGGAAATGGAATGGTAAAATGTGTCCCCTTTTTATGTTTTCTTTTGGGAGGGAAGATTCTGTAGTTCTGAAAAATTTTTTGTGGCTCATTAGCAAGAGCATTTATTCTCTGTCAATAATTTACTGTGTATACAATCAAAGACATTTTTAGATTCAAGAGTAGTCATCTTAAAGTTAAACTTCTCTGTTTGAAATGAATAATAGCTTTTAAATATTTCTTAGATATGATATTGCATATTTAAATTGTACAGTTTTTCTTTTCTCAGAAGAAACTATTTCTGTTCTTTCCCTTAGGGATGTTACATGACATCTCTATTGCTTTGTGAGTAATCAGACATGACATGCAAAGAGGCCCTTCACAAATCAAGTTACGATTAAAGAAGACTCAGAAACACTGGAGAGTATATCATGGAGTACAAGATTGAAGAAAAAGGAAAATATCGACATAGCTTGAACTTACTGAATAAAATTAAGAACATGAGAGAATTAGCAGAAATGATCGATGTAGTTCTCATAGCAGATGAGGAGAAATTTCCTTGTCACAGACTGGTCTTGGCTGCATTTAGTCCTTATTTCAAAGCTATGTTCACCTGTGGGCTGCTGGAATGCACTAAAAGGGAAGTCATCCTCCACGACATCACAGCAGACAGTGTGTCAGTGATATTAAATTACATGTACAATGCAGACTTGGAGATCAATAACGCCAATGTACAGACTGTAGCTATGGCTGCCTATTTTATGCAAATGGAAGACATATTTAGTGTGTGTCAGCAATACATGATGGACCACATGGATGCGTCCAATTGTGTAGGTATCTATTATTTTGCAAAGCAGATTGGAGCCGAAGACTTATGTGAACAGTCGAGGAAATATTTATATCAGCACTTTGCCGAGGTTTGCTTACATGAAGAAATACTAGAAATTGAAGTGCACCAATTTCTGACGCTTATTAAATCAGATGATCTTAACATATCTAGAGAGGAGAGTATCCTGGACTTAGTTCTGCGATGGGTAAATCATAACCAAGAACGACGCACAGAGTATCTTATTGAGCTTTTGAAGCAAGTCCGATTGGAACTTATCAATCCTTCTTTCTTAAGACAAGCCCTTAAGAGGAATACAATGCTTCTGTGTGATGCAGGTTGCATTGACATAATTCAGAATGCGTTCAAAGCCATGAAGAGTCCCCAGCAACATGCTCTAAATCTCCGTTACGGCATGGAGACTACCAGTCTTCTCCTTTGCATTGGCAACAATTCTTCCGGAATCAGGTCAAGGCACAGGAGCTATGGGGATGCCAGTTTTTGTTACGATCCTGTATCACAGAAGATCTATTTCATCTCCTCTCCAAAGTATGGGGAAGGTTTGGGAACGGTGTGCGCTGGTGTTGTCATGGAAAACAACACTGTCATTGTGGCTGGGGAAGCAAGTGCCTCTAAATTATCTAGACAAAGGAACAAGAATGTTGAGATTTACAGGTTTGTATCTGAATCCGATGAACTTGATTTTCTCGGCATGCTTTGGCATTAGCAACAGTATAGGAAAGCTCTGCTTTAAGAGTGGCCGCATCTTAAATTACCTGCCCAAATTACCCCATTCATCTCCACAAAATAACAGTCTTCAGAACATGGTTTTATCTATACACTCTTTGGAGAGGGCGCCCTGCTGGCATAGTGGTTATGAGTTGGGCTGCTAACCGCCACGTCGGCAGTTTGAAATCACCAGCCTCTCCACGGGAGAAAGATGAGGCTTTCTGTTCCTGTAAAGAGCTAGTCTCAGAAGCCCTCAGGGGCAGTTCTACTCTGTCCTATCGGGATGCCCTTGGTTGGAATTGATTCGATGGCAATGAGGGATTTTTTTGAGAGTATATCAGAGTACACAATTGAAGGACAAGAAAAATACCAGCAGCTCAAACTTACTGAATAAAATTAAGAACATAAAATAATTAGCAAAAATGAATGTAATACTTGTAGCAAGAGAATTTCCTTACCATAGACTGGTCCTTGCTACCTTTCATCCTTATTCCAAAGTTGTGGCCAGGAAGTCATGCTCCATGACATCACAGCCGAAAGTGTGTCCCTTTCCATGTATAGTGAGGGCATTGATGGCTCAGTGGTAGAATTTTGTGGAACACCCAGGTTCAGCAGTGCCCCACGTACATCTGTCAGTGGAGGTTTGCATGTTGCTATGATGAACACGAGGTTTCAGCAGAGCTTCCAGATTAAGTCGGATGTCCCATCCCCAGGTCCCAGGCAGCCTTTTCATTCCATCATGCTTGAGGATCTCATGAGTCAGGGTCTACCTCTATGGCCCCTGACAACAACAAATGGATAATAAATATAGCACATATGTAAAATTCATAATCCCATATTTTAAAGTTATTTTTCCTCTTTAATTGTTGAGAATAGATATTGAGTTTGCCTCAGTAAAAAATGTATATTATTACTTTATTGAATATTCTCACTGTTATCTTTCATTATTCATCCATCTGATAGAGAGCTTAGCTTTAAAAGAGCTTAATTTCATTTGCAACCGTTGTTGTTGTCGGAATTAGTTGTGTTCAAGCCGGCTCCAGCTCCTGGCTGCCCGTACGCATCACAGAATGAAACGTTGCCCAGTCCTGGGCCCGCTTCATCATCCTTTCGATGCCTGAGTCTATTGCTTCAGCCACCTTGTGAAGCATTCTTACTAACACTGTTGCCTTCGCCAACCTCCCACTGATAGACCGTGTTGTCCCTTTCTCGCTGTTGTTTATTTCGGATGATATGTCCACAGTAAGCAATCTGGAGTCTCACCATCCTTGCTTTTAAGGATCATTTTTGTTGTATGTCTTCACAGATTGAGTTGGTCCTTCTTCTGGCAGTTGATGGGATATACGGGTTCTGTACCAACAGTACAATTCAAATGCAGTTACACATCCAGCATTCATTGGCCTACTTAATGAGATAAAAAGTTATGAATACAATTTCGGTTGAACTGATTTTATTCCGTTCATAATTCAGAGTAACAAGTAACTATTTTCTTGACCAAGATTATGAATTATCCATTTTTACTCTTTAATTCGTTGTATCCTAAGCACCTAATATTTAAAAATGTAGTGTAAGAATACTTCAAACTTAGGTAGAATTGTAGGAGAGCCTGCTAAAAAATAGCATATCATGTAGATCAGTGGTTCTCAACCTTCCTTATGCTGCAACCCTTTAATACAGTTCCTCATATTGTAGTGACCCCCCAACTATAAAATTATTTTCGTTGCTATTGATAATTGTAATTTTGCTACTGTGATCAATCGGGCGACCGCTGTGAAAGGGTCATTCGACCCCCAAGGGGGTTGCAGCCTACAGGTTGATAACAGCTGATTTAGATCATATATGCGATAACACATACATATAGTTATTTTATTCAACTATTCAGTGTTAAATTTCAGTCTGTAAATATGTACGCTGAATAAAGGGTAGCTAGGAAAGTTCTCCTTCTCTGTCCTCATTATCTCAGACGTCAGCTCCCTCTGACTAGATTTGTTCAGACTTTTCAGTCAGAAAGTAATTTTTGATTGTGACGTTAGAACAAAGAAGATATACACTATTTTACTGTCATCTCTTACTGTTTCATAATTGCTTCCCAAGCTATAGACCTGGTCACTCTTTGTGTTCCTAATGTGAAGGCTTGTTTCATCTCCCAAGCTAGTGGTAGAGGAGGGGCTTCATAGTGCTAGTTGGGGGACCGGGATCAGTACCTGTCGGGGCACGTCACTGAGTCATAGAAGGAGCCTTCTTTTTTTTTTAATCGTTTTATTGGGGGCTCATACAACTCTTTTCACAATCCATACATACCTCAATTGTATAAAGCACATTTGTACATTCGTTACCCTCATCATTCTCAAAACATATGCTCTCCACCTAAGCCCCTGGCATCAGCTCCTCA